AATGGTTTTTGTTAAAAATAGATTAAAGATCAACTGCGTTACTATGACGCAGTACCCCCGTCCCTGATTTCAAACCTTGACCACCATAAGCTCATTAAACTTTCGATCCTTGTCCCCTGGGGTATAAAAGCACTCCACCCATCGCCGGGATCTTCATTGTTTTATCTACCGACCACTGCACCTATTTTATTTCAACTTTACTCCTATTCTGGGGAGCTTCAGCTCACCAGAGCCTTACCACGTTTATTTGTATTCTCGTTTAACATGTATTTACGGTTTATTAATAAATATGTATATAGGACACGAAGTCTTACACACACACATATATATATACAAACGGGGCACACACTAGTCTAATAAGCTAGCAGTTAGGGTCGCGATATACCTCTCACACACATAATACTTAGACGGCAATCCTTTATCTCTTATTTTACCATTTTCTACAGTTTATTAATCCCCCCTCTTTGCACGTGAAATATTTTTAGTTATTTTGCACCGCAACCGTCGTACTGACGAAGTGCAGTTGAATTGTGGCAGTAGAATGAATAAGACTTTTTTTGTTGAAAAAAGACGGTTCATTTTACGAGTTTTAAAGAAATTATTTGTAAAAAAATAAAAAATTTTGAGAAATTATGAGAATAAAAACTCTGAAAAGAAATATTTCGGTTCTCCTAAATTTTCGTATACATTTCTTACCATTACCACAACTGGCATTCGTCAGTGCTTACGCGATGAAGTTCTGTCACTCACTGTTACATGAGTTACATGAAATACTCGAAATTTGTATAATTCTTGGCATTAAAATTTACAGATGACGCAGCCAATCGTTGAAATTGCTGACGATATGCTGAAGCTGAGCCGATATAAAGTTGCAACATACAAGGAATCGATGGAGCAATTCGGCGCACTTGATGATGCCCATCAAGGTATCGCTCAATATGTGCATGTGTGCGCATGTCTGTTTGTATGTATGTATGTATGTATATATGTATGTATGTATGTATGTATGGTATCCATGTATGTATGTGTATATGTATGTATGTGCGTGTAGATATAGCTTGCATATCTGTATATATGTATTTTTTTACGTACAAAATTTTGATTATAATTATATATATGTAATAAAAATGAGTAATATAAATAATATTCCAACCAATTAATTTTATTTCAACCATATTTCAACCAAATTAATATTTGGAAATATGTAATGAAAATAAATAATATTTCAATCGAGTTAATTATATTTTAATGTAAAAATATTTCAATATGAATTATTTTATATTTT